AACTGAGTTGCTAGCCTGGATTGAGTAGATGCATGTAAAATAGACAATCAAGACTACAGATGTGCCCAGAAATCTAGAGTTTGCAGAATTTAACTGTAATTTCTATTCGAATCTAAGGTCCTGCAGAGTCCACTTGACAATCCTCACATGAACGAGCAGGCCGTCTAAAAGTTTTTCAAAGGTGAGTCAAGATTAACTTTTGTTGACAAGGTGAAAACTGAAAATGCCAAATGGAGACCGAGCTCCATGGAGGCCTTAATTTGGAATCATCAAAATTCAAACTTTTCAGTTTCAGAAAACTCTGAAAACAAATACACATATATAGGAAAACTTTTATGTTACACAGTTTGGTACGGCGAGACGTGCATGTAAGCATATGCATGTGGCTTATTAATTATTATAGGGAAAGAAAAGAAAATCCTATTCCCGATGGTCGTCAGGAAGAAGAAAAAGATTTGCATGATTCAAGGATGCTCACCAGATGGCATCGATGGGCTTGCCGAGCACCGTGGTGGAGAGCTGCCGCGCCATCCCCTGACTGAGATCGTAGATATGCAGCTTCACCGGGTACTCATCCTGCAGTGCACCCCCAACCATGGATCGTCATCTCAGCTCCAATGCAAGCATCAGCAGCTTAATTTCAACGGAAACCCATAGGCACAAGAATTCCTTCCTTCCTTCCTTACCTCTGCCACCTTCCCCCGAAGCTGGCCTCCGAAGCATCCGCACCTGGCAAGAAGAGGCAGCTTCCATGACGACAGAGAAGAACAACATGCGCGGCCAAAGAAAGACCGCCGGCAGCTTCAAATTTCTACGGGGCACAGAGAAAAGAGTAAGGGTGTCCAAGGAAGATATACCCGGCGAAAGCGAATCTGCTCCGGCGTGGCTTCGCCATGTCCGAGCTCTTTGGATGGAGTTTGCACGCACGCACCAGAAGGCGAGGTCGTTGGATAAAAGCAAGCGGCAGCAGGCGTGCGGAGCTGGGGCGGCTCCGATTGCTTCTGTGCTTGTCAAGGACTCGATCGCCTTTTGGTTTCTTTCTTTCTTTCTTTCTTGCGCAGGGGTTTCTCCTCTCCTCCTATTCCTCCTGTCTGCGTTGCGTGGAGTGGAGAGGACTCCGGCCGAGACAAGCCAAGAGGAATACATTACTACTACCCTAATGTTTTTTTTTCCTTTGGATTTTGTAGGCGGACAGGTCGGGTGGTTGCTTGTTGTGTTGGTGCGGGAAACAAGCAACCATCAGAGATCAGACCAACCGCCGCCTCATCTCCGTTTCCAGCCGCAGCAGCTGCTGCTGCTGGTCATGGTCAGGTGCACACACAAACAAAACCATATTGACGCAATCGCCTTATACTACATTGTTTCGTTTGTACTCCCTCTCGTCCCGTAATATACAAACGTTTTTGAAACTACACTAGTGTCAAAAACGTTCTTATATTATGGGACAGAAGGAGTAGCTTTTGTACAAATCACTCGGACTAAATTCTGCAGGGATCCAAGTCCAACCGTGCACTGCAACTCTTGCTTGCTTTTACACCAAAGAAAACTGAAACCAGCCAAGTCCCTGCATGCATTTCCATCGTATCTTTGCTTCCAGAATCCCCCAAAAACAACAGAAAAACTCTCCAAAGTTAACGCACGCGATACACTGAAGACTTTTATCTATTTGTATGTATCGAGGTGTACCTTTAGTGCAACTTAAAAATTCAACAGGTTGAGCCCCGCTTAAGCCCATGGCAACAAGGCACCAATGATTCCAGGGCAAGAAGCAGACTATTAGGAAATTCGTATCAACAACCAGAGTGATTGATGATGTCTCAGCAACCTACAACTACAGCTTACATGGGCACATATCACGCGCATATTAGTTTACACATAATTTGTTCTGGTCTAGTTTGCTACCTATGCTTACATGTCCGAATGAACAGTCCTTTCAGTAATGTCACCAAATATTTGTTTAGAGATACTGAATGTGCAAGGACTGCACAATCCAAAGATGCTGACATAAAAACTGCCACTAACTATCCAAATTCAAATGTTACGAAGATCGACGAAGAGTGAACAAAAGGTCAGGAAACTTACAAACAAATAGCAAACGTGTGATACTAAAGCA